TTACTTTGCAGCGATTACTTTCCCTGTTAATATATGGTTTAGAGGGAAAAAGGTAAACAACTTCATCTCTCTTGTGAATATACTGCATTTTCTGGCATAGTTTGGTCTTGATGGCCCCCACAAGTAATGAGTGGGTCATTACAAAATCTGAATCTTTGCAGAATGTAACCATCCTTAGGATAAGGTTGACTGTGTATTTACCTTTTTCTTTAACCAAAGTAGTTTCTCTTTGGACATAGCCAAACGACAATATCATTTTCTCCAACTCAAACATCTCTATCGAGAAAATTTCAAGAACACTTTCTGGGTCAACTTTATTTTTTGCTCTCCCTACTGAATATATAGAAAGAACTATCAAGTTGAGGAACAAGATATCACCAAACAAAAGATACCACTTTCTTGACGAACCTGAAAAATCCTTTTAACTTGAAAATATGCTATGCTTTGTTGGAAAGTGCCTACAAATGTTTAAACTGCCCTTAACAAAGAAAGATGCTCGTTTTGGATAATATCTTATGGACAGTATCCTCATCTCGGAAAAACAGTAACATGCACATTTGAATAATACAGGAAAACCAGCCTTAGACTGGAACACGAGGAAGAGAATAGCAATTGGAGCAGCCAGGGGTCTGCTGTACCTCCACGAGCAATGTGATCCTAAGATAATCCATAGAGATGTGAAGGCCGCCAATGTGCTTCTAGATGACTACTGCGAAGCCGTAGTTGGTGATTTTGGACTTGCAAAGCTTCTTGACCATGCTGACTCTCATGTGACCACTGCTGTTCGTGGCACCGTTGGGCACATCGCTCCGGAGTATCTTTCAACTGGCCAGTCTTCTGAGAAGACAGATGTGTTTGGGTTTGGCATTCTTTTGATAGAGCTAATTACTGGAATGCGAGCTCATGAACATGGGAAAACAACTAACCAAAAGGGCGCCATGCTTGAGTGGGTAAGTCTTACTCTTAACTATAATCTAAAAGCTAGCTTAGCTAATTTAACTTTATCAATGATTGAAGCTATCTATGGTTGCTGCTTTTGATACTACAATGATTTCCTACTGGTAATGGAGCATGGAAAATATTCCATTACGATGTTTAATTTGGCTATTGTTCCACACGGATGGGGTTGAAAGGGAAAGCTCTTGTGTCAGGTGAAAAAGATACAACAGGAAAAGAAAGTGGAATTGCTTGTGGACAGAGAGCTAGGCAACAACTATGATCAGATTGAAGTTGGGGAAATGTTGCAAGTGGCTCTTCTTTGCACTCAGTATTTACCTGCTCACCGTCCCAAGATGTCGGAGGTGGTCCGAATGCTTGAAGGGGATGGCCTTGTTGAGAAATGGGCTGCTTCCCACACCCATAATGACTTAAATGTCAACCTCTTTCATTCACGGAACAGCTGCAAAAGTTCATACAATCCCACAAATGCAATGAAGAGTAACGGCAATGATCATTCTAGCATGTTAAGTTTGACATTGGACGACGACGACGAGGAGCGATCTTTAGACTCCTATGCCATGGAACTCTCCGGTCCAAGATAGTAGTGAAACTCAGAGAAAAGGGAAGGTTATAATTCATTGCTTCAATTCTTTACAAAGCCCGTAATCAACTAATCGTCATGGGGAAAAGATGGGTTTCAATGTTGGTTTCATAAACTTCATGTACCCTTTTTTTGCAATCTTTTTTTCTTTGTCAATATTCTGGGTTTGGACATGTAAATATATGATATCCGCTTGGTCTTCTTGAAATGGTGCATTTTATTATAACAGTAGAAGGGAAGGAAAGAAAAGGCAAAGCTTGTATAGGGGGAGAGGCTTAGATAAACAGAACAGACTAGGACTATTTAAATGAATGAATTTGACTATCTTCTTCTAATTGTTAGAAATGGATTTGGTTTCATGGCATCAGCCAGAGCTGTTCTGTAAATTTGTGGGGGGGGGGGGGGGGGGG